GGAGCGCCGCCACACTCCCAAGCGGCGCACTCTCCAGTGCACCACCGGGCCGGCCCTGGCAAAGCTCCTTTAAGGGCTGAGTTCTCACCCAATTCTTAAATACCCCAGGGAGGTGGGAGTGGTCACCTCTTGCTACGGAGGAGCAGGCAGAGGCCCAGGGAAGAAAAGGAACAGATCAAAGGAGATGCAGGTCAGGACAGCCAGGCTTTAAGTCCAAGCCCCAAGTCCCACAGCACTTGCTGTGTTCTCTCTCACTCCACTAGGTCTTCTACACTCTTTCCCTCCACAAGGCACCTGGCCACCTTCAACACAGTGGCTGCTCTATAGCCTGTCTTGGAATGAAGGTAACAAAGGCACAAAGCAGGGTCCCCAGCCAACCCGTGATACACACGCAGCAGGTCCTGGAAGTGAACCTGTTAAGCCACTGGCATGTAGGGTTGTTACTGCAGCACGGCCAAGCCTGTTTGTACTGATACAGTCACCAGCCTCCCTACCTCCACCTGATGAGTCCTTCCAACTCCTTCTAACTTTCCTGCCGCCAGAGGACACCTGAGCCAAGCATGCTGTAGCTTCCTAAGGGCAGCTCAGACAATCACCTTGGCATGCGAAGGGTGCTACAGGTATTCACACATGCACAGGGGATGGAAGTGTGGCAGGGACTGCAGGAGTCCATCCTAGATGCCCCACCCCTTACCCCTGATGCAACCCTGGGTGAAAAATCAACACTTCCAGGGAGGGACATTGGCACTGTGACAAGCATGCTCGCAAGGTGACTGGATGTTCCAATGGCCCCTTGAGACCAGCAGCATTATTCCCATTCTACAAACTGGGAGGCTGAGATTCTGGGGCATTAAACAATTTGTCCAAGGTCACACAGGTTTAGGGTTGGAACACAGCTGGTCTGATTTTAAAGCCCAACCACCCTCCCTGACACTGTGCGGCTTCTCCTTGGTGCCCAAGCCAGGAGGCAGTTCCATCTAAGCCCTGGCTCATCAGTCTCCTGGCACACGGCTGGAGCCCAACCACAGTGAGCAGAATGCGACACAACCTGCATGGAAGACCAGGGCCAGGCTGGAGTCTGGCTCCGCTTTGTCATTCTGATCGGTCAATTCTGTTCTGGTATCTTCCCTCACCAATAATTTACTCTGCAAACACATCTTGGGTGGCCTCTGGATTTGGAAAGGTGTACAGTTAAATTGATACCGCACCCAGCAGGCATCACAGGGATAGATCTTCAAAGTCCCCTAATGAGACCATAAATTGCAGGGGCCATGCTTGAACGGATGGTTCATGGCTTGGGAACCCGAGGACTGATGGATCACATGGCAATTCTGTGGTCGAGGCCCATTATTTCCTGGTGACATCTACAACACATGCAGGCCACTTCAGAGCCAAGCTCTTCCACCAGACCTTCTTTCAGTCAAGAGAGACAACCCTGGGCTAGACCAGGCCCCAGCT